TACATGTTTATATATTATTTTAGTTGTGTTTTTTTTGAACGGAATATGAATAAAGGCCATTATTATTAATATTATTTTACTACACAGTTTGATATTAATTTAACGGCTGGTTTTTTTATTGGCCTATTTCTATTTTGATTCGGTGACCTACCATTTTCAAAGTTTATTTTTGCAATGTAATTTATTTTGGACTTAAATTTCCGAGTTTTTACAATCAACAATAATTGCAATCACTATTAAACAAACTTTTCACAATTTGAGTGTTTTATTTTACGTTCCTTCCCTACTGTGTTTCAGGTCAAAGCATTGTCTACAAGACTACAACCAACATAAGGGGGCCCTGCCTTAAGGTTTTACACTATCATATTTCTCGTGATTTGTCATATGATAAGTAACAAGCAATTGGATTTGTGTTTACACTATACTATTTTTGGTATTATGCGCGGTCATAAGACAAATCTTAACTCATAAGGAAATAATATGTATATCATTGAATAGGAATGTTTCTATTTCTGCATGACAAATGACATGACTTATTTTAAATATCCAGTGATTCCCGCTCTTTTGTGGTTACTTTTCGCATTTTGCTGTGGTATCTCATGTGTACAATCTGAAAACTTGAGTAAACTGCATAAACAATACTAAATATTTATGTATTTGATTGTCTGGTTTAAACTGTTTGTAGTGGTCTTTTGAGGTAGAAAATCATATTCATCTTTTAAGACAGTATAAATGGCATCCACTGTTTCCGGAATAATGTGGAAATAGCAGGTACAGAAATCCTGAAAAGCAATTCTTTAAATAGCATTGTAGTGATTCCAAGCGCTTCATTTCGCCTCTCTAACCATTTTCTTGTCCAAAGCCGTCGTGGTTTTTTATTACTTTTTTTTTCTATAACTGTTCGTTTTAATAATAACAATAATAAGATGGAGATCTGAGATTTTATAACATTTTCCATAATTCAGTGAAGGTTATGCTTACAGTGGCACCACGCTCAGAAAGTCCCTTGACAGAGCGTGTGTCAGAGGGCGCTAGAAATTTAAACCGTACATTCTGATGCAAAATTTAAAGACACTTTAAGGGAATTAGAATTACATACCTTATCAGATCGTAGATCCAAGCTATATGCGCCTTGAAAAAGAAGAGTGTGTATAAAACTGTAGACGGAAAACGTAAAATAAAGCAAATACAAGAAGCAAAGTGTAAACTAAAATAACGTGAAGCGTCAACTGTCAAAATGGAATAATTAATAATTATGGCGCGGAATGTATCGCGTCGTTTTGCAGACGTTCTATTGGCCCATTGGCCAGCCTGAATTATTTCAAAATTAGTTCGCATATTTTCCGGGGCTTTTCTGAGCATGGTGGCACTGTATGTAACTTCTGTTTTTACTTAATATAAGTCACATGAAGTGTAAAGTAAAACATTAAAACTCGTACGAAAAATATGTTGGTAGTCAATATCATACGACATATCATATAAAAAATCATATATGAGATATATTATACTGTAAAGGTACCTTTAGATGTCTTATCACGTGCCACTTTGAAATTTAAGCGGGATCTTGTTTAGTTTTGGAGGTAATAGCTTAGACCATTGAATAATAATTCAGATTTATTATTCAATGCTTAGACTATGAAATAAAGCATTCGGGTGGCCATTTTTAAACGTTACCGAGATTACTTTATTTCCGTGTTCTTGTAGTGTGAAGTTAGCGTAGAAGCTGGGGGTTAAGTCATATATATGGTTAAGTCATATATATACTTCTCTTATATATATGGGTTAAGTACACTACATTCTACTTGAAAGACATTCTACAATCTTTTAGAACAGCTAGAGCGTTTAATGAGAGACATCTCGGGAGAAATGTAAGCCATGCTTATGTTCAAGATTTGGTCGCTAATTTCGAAGAAACGGGATCTGTTATCAATAAAAAAAA